ACAGGAAGGGGTAGATAGATAGATAGATAGATAGATAGATAGATAGATAGATGGATGGATGGATCATGTAGTCGACCCAGATACCTACGCACTCAGTGCTACTCTAATTGGTAAATTGTGTTATGTTAATGTTCCAGCTGGAAATGGCCTACCTGCCTGGAAAAGCATCATTCAAAATCTGTTTTTTTTTACCTGGGTACGAACACTGTTTGCAAATACTAAAGACAAACACCCACAATGTGTCTCCTAGCTAAGTAGAATGCATATCACACATTTCGATAACACACGTGTGTGCTGTTAGCAGGTGGAGAGGAAGTAAATTTAAAATATTTGTTTAAACTTATGTAATTTTTTAAAGTTTTTCAAAAAAAAAAATTTAATTGCATTATATTAATTTAGTATTTTTTATATAACACTTTGCTGCTACAAACATTTAAGAACTGTGTTGCTATACTCTTAATTGACTTTATTTATTTGTAAATTTACTGCGTTAAAGCATAACACGCCTATAGACATGCAACCCTTGAAAATGGTTCAAGATGAGATTGAAAGTACTTTGGAAAATAAAAATTATTTGAAGGAAACTTTTGTAATTTTTCTTAATCAATTTTCAACAGCCAAAAGAAATTAATTTGCGGACTTCAAAGGATTAAAACTAAAATAAATAGATATAATACGTCTAAATTATTTAACCAAACACACTGGAATATATATATATATATATATATATATATATATATATATATATATATGTGTGTGTGTGTGTGTGTGTGTGTGTGTGCGTGCGTGCGTGTGTGTGTGTTATTTAATATGTGCTTTATTTACAGAGAAAGATAGAATTATAGATCAACTTGCTCTGAAGAGCTTTTTGCTCTGAAGAGCTTTTTGCTTTTTCTTTTTTAATCATTTCACCGCAAGTAAGGCGATAAATCCACTAAGACGCAAGAGAGTTACTGTGTGCGAAAGAATATGAGAAAAAGAATACATTTTCAGGAATTAAAAGTCGAAGATAACGAACAAAAACAGAAAGTACTGGACGGCCTTTTTTGTCCTATAACTACCGAGAATTGAAAACACGGAAAGTTACGACATGAGGCAAACGTCATGCCAAGTGTTCCAACGGGCCTCGGTGACGAAGATAGCGAATTAGATTCGATATATTTCACATATTCTGTGGTTGAACTCATCGAGCCTCCAACGTTAGAAACCTGTTCAAGCAAGTGTATCAAGTGATAGAAATTATTAGGAGGATTTAAGATAATTATAATAACAATTAAGTCTAGAAGAAACCACAACAGAATGCAGAAAGTACTGCTTCATTCTATATTTGGCACTCATCAGCAGTGCGCATCCACTACCGAGAATTCGTTATATTTCCATTTTCGAGCAACGTTAAGTAGAGTCGGAAGAGATATCTATACGCTAGAAGTTCTAGAGATGAAACTCTTAGCCTAGAACTTACGGTTGCATCTAATAATTTCAATTGTAAAATGATGGGACCTAACTGACAATCTAGTACCAAAGAAGAAAACTATTCACGACAATGACCATAAAAATATTTGTAGAAAAGGCACAGGGAAGCCACGTTACGTCTTAGGGAAAGTCACTGAAGCTGAGGTACCAGATCAAGATCAATAACATTGCAGGTTCTCCTTTTATATTTCATCAAGAATCTCTAAACACATAGCAGATGCACCAAACTAGATATAGCAGCAAAATTCACTGCATAGACGAATGGCAGACTTATAAATATATAAGATAGATCATTATTTACATGATTCAGACTATTGTCCTCATCTTTGTCGCCATATTTATGACAACGTTTCGGCTGTTGTACTCTCCGGCCTTCTTCAGGTATTGGGATGTCGAACTTAATCCTTTATTAAGGACACATGGCACAGTGGATAAAGGCGTTGGTTAGATCCAGTGACAGGACCCAAAGAGTGTGAGTTCAATACCCGGTTAAGGCAGCGGAGAACTTTCAGAGGGAAATTAACAGGAGATAACTGATAACTGACATCCATTAAACATGGCACGTGGAACTAGAACAGTCTACACCAGTGATCGAAATAAAGGGTTCAGTTCGACATTCCAACCACCTGAAGAAGGACGGAGCGTACAACAGCCGAAAGGTTGTAATATATATGGCGACAAAGATGAGGACAACAGGTCTGAATAAGGTAAATAATGTAAATAATACCTCATCTAAGAAATATAGACAGATACTGAAGGGCCGAAAGGTTGTAATAAATATGGTGACAAAGATGAAGACAATAGTCCGAATAATGTAAATAGTGTACACAATACCTCATCTCAGAAATATAGACAGATACTGTAGGGACGAAACGTTGTAATAAATATGGCGACAAAGATGAGGACAATAGTCCGAATAATTTAAATAGTGTACATAATACCTAATCTCAGAAATATAGACAGGTACCGAAAGGCCGAAACATTGTAATAAATATTGCGACAAAGATGAGGACAATAGTCTGAATACTGTAAATAGTGTACATAATATTTCATCTCAGAAATATAGACAGATACTGTTGGGTCGAAACGTTGTAATAAATATGGCGACAAAGATGAGGACAATAGTCCGAATAATGTAAATAGTGTACATAATACCTCATCTCAGAAACGTAGACAGATACTGTAGGGTCGAAACGTTGTAATAAATATGGCGATAAAGATGAGGACAACATGTCTGAATAAGGTAAATAATGTAAATAATACCTCATCTAAGAAATATAGACAGATACTAAAGGGCCGAAAGGTTGTAATAAATATGGTGACAAAGATGAAGACAATAGTCCTAATAATGTAAATAGTGTACATAATACCTCATCTCAGAAATATAGACAGATACTGTAGGGACGAAACGTTGTAACAAATATGGCAACAAAGATGAGGACAATAGTCCGAATAATGTAAATAGTGTACATAATACATCATCTCAGAAATATAGACAGATACTGAAAGGCCGAAACATTGTAATAAATATGGCGACACAATGAGGACAATAGTCTGAATAAAGTAAATAGTGTACATAATACGTCATCTCAGAAATATAGTCAGATACTGTAGGGTCGAAACGTTGTAATAAATATGGCGACAAAGATGAGGACAATAGTCCGAATAATGTAAATAGTGTACATAATACCTCATCTCAGAAACATAGACAGATACTGTAGGGTCGAAACGTTGTAATAAATATGGCGTTAAAGATGAGGACAACATGTCCGAATAATGTAAATAGTGTACATAATACATCATCTCAGAAATATAGACAGATACTGAAAGGCCGAAAGATTGTAATAAATATGGCGACACAATGAGGGACAATAGTCTGAATAAAGTAAATAGTGTACATAATACCTCATCTCAGAAATATAGACAGATACTGAAAGGCCGAAACATTGTAATAAATATGGCGACAAAGATGAGGACAATAGTCTGAATAAAGTAAATAGTGTACATAATACCTCATCTCAGAAATATAGACAGATACTGTAGGGTCGAAACGTTGTAATAATATGGCGACAAAGATAAGGGACAATAGTCCGTAAATAGTGTACATAATACCTCATCTGAAATATAGAAATACTGTAGGGTCGAAACGTTGTAATAATATGGCGACAAAGATAATAATACCTCATCTCAGAAATATAGACAGATACTGTAGGGTCGAAACGTTGTAATAAATATGGCGACAAAAGATGCGGACAATAGTCCGAATAATGTAAATAGTGTACATAATACCTCATCTCAGAAATATAGACAGATACCGAAAGGCAAAAACATTGTAATAAATATGGCGACAAAGATGAGGACAATAGTCTGAATACTGTAAATAGTGTACATAATACCTCATCTCAGAAATATAGACAGATACTGTAGGGTCGAAACGTTGTAATAATATGGCGACAAAGATAAGGGCAATAGTCCGAATAATGTAAATAGTGTACATAATACCTCATCTCAGAAATATAGACAGATACTGTAGGGTCGAAACGTTGTAATAAATATGGCGACAAAGATGCGGACAATAGTCCGAATAATGTAAATAGTGTACATAATACCTCATCTCAGAAATATAGACAGATACCGAAAGGCCGAAACATTGTAATAAATATGGCGACAAAGATGAGGACAATAGTCTGAATACTGTAAATAGTGTACATAATATTTCATCTCAGAAATATAGACAGATACTGTAGGGACGAAACGTTGTCATAAATATGGCAACAAATATGAGGACAATAGTCCGAATAATGTAAATAGTGTACATAATACCTCATCTCAGAAATATAGACAGATACTGAAAGGCCGAAACATTGTAATAAATATGGCGACAAAGATGAGGACAATAGTCCAAATAATGTAAATAGTGTGTATAATACCTTAAATAGTGTATATAATACCTCATCTCAGAAATATAGACAGATACTGTATGGAAGAAACATTGTAATAAATATGGCAACAAAGATGAGGACAATAGTCCGAATAATGTAAATAATGTACATAATACCTCATCTCAGAAATATAGACAGATACTGAAAGGCCGAAACATTGTAATAATATGGCGACAAAGATGAGGACAATAGTCTGAATAAAGTAAATAGTGTACATAATACCTCATCTCAGAAATAAAGACAGATACTGTAGGGTCGAAACGTTGTAATAAATATGGCGACAAAGATAAGGACAATAGTCCGAATAATGTAAATAGTGTACATAATACCTCATCTCAGAAATATAGACAGATACTGTTGGGTCGAAACGTTGTAATAAATATGACGACAAAGATGAGGACAATAGTCCGAATAATGTAAATAATGTACATAATACCTCATCTCAGAAATATAGACAGATACTGAAAGGTCGAAAGGTTGTAATAAATATGGCGACAAAGATGGGAGAATAGTCCGAATAATGTAAATAGTGTACATAATACCTCATCTAGGAAATATAGACTGATACTGAAGGGCCGAAACATTGTGATAAATATGGCGACAAAGATGAGGACAATTGTCTGGATAATGTAAATAATGTACATAATACCTC